TTTCTACTTGAGAGAAGAATTTAAAGATGGGAAGGAAGTTTAAAGGGAGTAAAAGATGGTATGTGAGGGGAAGTGTTCACCAGAACCGACACTCTCCATCAGAACCCAGCTTTCCTCGGTACGCTTCGGTAGGAAACTTGACTCATTACCTTTCTGAAGATTAATCAGCAGATATGGAGGTCCCGTTAACGCTACCTGTCCAGCGTCTCCATAGGATGGCTGTGACTCGTTCGAAGTAGTGACGAGATTCCGTCCGACACCAGCTCACCTCAGCAAGTGGAAAGTGTTATAATCCCATGAAACTCGGAAGAGCTCTGTGGTCATGTCAGGGTCTTCCCGGCTCCCAGCCAGACCCAACAGAACTTCACAGAACTGAGAACTGGGCAAATCCAGAACTGGCTCCCACAGCAACTGCACAGCCCTAGGACATATCAGAACTGTCCGCGCCGCCGAACTTCTCCAAACCCACAGAACTGTGTAAACCAGGAAGTACCGACATTTTTAAAGAGCTCTTTTCCCGGTTCATTTGGGAGTCTTCCCATTGGTCAGTACCGACCAGACAGGGGTGTGTTTTGTGACGCAAGAGGTTACTAGGAGTCAGAAGACAGCAAGAATGTTATTGAACAGATTAAACTGTTCTCAGAGACAGAGAGAGTTTTGTTTTGGCGAGTTTTAGAAACAGGTGCCAGCTCTACGTCTGAGAGGATGTAAACAAGACAGTTGTTCCAACACATGTCTGCTTCGACTCCTGACCTTGGAAAACGCACACTTGCTCATTCAAAGACAGAAATCAGAAAATGCATAAAAATCTGTAACAGACCTTAACATGAATTCTAACTCTGCATAAGCATTAAAAATCATTATTACTGTGCTACAGTTAATAAAATTGATTAGTTCACTGCAACATCTAAAATGGTTTGAACTAAGACACATTGATTATCAACATTTGTAAAATAGTAATGATAATAAAAAGAGAGTGTTCTTCCACTTGATTTTCAAGAAAGAGAGTCTCAGGATGGGTGAACCTGTATTTCTGGATTCAAATCAATGAAATGACAGTTCCTGTCCCACAAGGTTCTTAAGGTCAAGGGTTTTGACCTTAGGCTTAGTCTTGACATCAGGTTAAGTTCACTACATCAACAAATCCCAAAAAATTTGGGACAAGTAGCAAAAAGTGGCTGGAAAAAGGAAATTGAGCATATAACGAACAGCTGGAAGACCAATTAACACTAATTAGGTCAATTGACAACATGATTGGGTATAAAAAGAGCTTCTCAGAGTGTCAGTGTCTCTCAGAAGCCAAGATGGTAAGAGGATCACCAATTCCACCATTGTTGCGCAGAAAGATAGTGCAGCAATACCAGAATGGTGTTACCCAGTGTAAAATAGCAAAGACTTTTAAGTTATCATCATCAATCGTGCATAACATCATCAAAAGATTCAGAGAATCTGGAACAATCGCTGTGCGTAAGGGTCAAGGCCGTAAAACTCTACTGGATGCTCGTGATCTCCGGGCCCTTAAACGTCACTGCACCTCAAACAGGAATGCCACTGTCAAGGAAACAACAGAATGGGCTCAGGAATACTTCCAGAAAGCATTGTCAGTGAACACAATCCATCGTGCCATCCGCCGTTGCCAGCTGAAACTCTACAGTGCAAAGAGGAAGCCACTTCACTTCCGGCGAGCTGATGGACAGCAGCTCCCTCCGGCTTCTCTGCAGTCTATTATCATCAAACTGACCCATTTTTCGAACCGGACTAAAGCTGGTCCTCCTTCCAACCGAATTCGGTGTTCAGTGACTCAGAGAGCCGGACGGGACTGTCCAAAAAAATATTTTGGCCCAGGACCGATCGGCCGCTCCCCCCCATCGGTCACTCTGAGCGCACCCTGCCGGCCAGGTGACCCCTCGAGCTGGGGAGTCGACGCACGAAGGTCCGGTGTTTTTTCTCTCTCTCTCAGGACCTCAACGAACTCTTATCTGGACCCTTGTGGTTCTACCTGGTTCCTACAAATATCGCCGGGTGGTATTTCGCTGGTTTTCAGCTGGACTGGCCCTTGTGGTGTCTCCATAGGTGTGGGGGAAGTGTACCTGTGACCCTCGAATTGGACCAGAACCGAACCGAGGTGGCTGTAGGGAAATTCGTCTTCTACAGAGCCGGTCTCAGCTTCAGTGAGCAGCCCGTTACTTTTACTGAAAGACGATCCACCTCCGTGGAGTCGTTGTGTTCACCTGGAGGAGACGCTCCGGTGCTTTGAAGCGCCGCCGGACCGGAGCAGAACCGCGCCGCCGGGCTGCCGGACCGGAGCAG